ATATATATATATATATATATATATATATATATATATATATATATATATATGAATTTTTAAACATCTTTTCTCAATACATCATCCGCGGAACAGATTGCTCCGGTTTTCCTTTTTTCTCACATACCTAAAAATCGCACGACTTTCTGGACCGATCCAATATACACACTAGTGGCGTGTCGTCACCGATATTTCGCAAACTCATTAAAAATCAGAAACGTTCCCATGATTAAAAGCCCGCTTGATCCTTTGGCGCTCGCACGTTTTTCCCGCGGCCAAACTGTCTGCCCTCGCGAATATACGCATTCCCATGCACACGATACAGTGACAAGCGTAAATCGGCGCTATTGTGGCCTCTGTGAGTGCGGCGAGCACAGGTCACCACGGTAGCGACGACGACGACGAAATTGAATACCGTTTTTCCAAGACGGCCGGAACGCGGCTGGATTTAAGTAATGAATGGATCGCGTTGTCAAAATCCACGGAGCGTGTCGGCGAGCAGCCGTTGTTGCATAACGCGGTTTCGCGGCGTCGCTTATGGTTGGGAAAATACGGAATTCCGAAGGCGCAAGTCCCATTTAGCGGAGAGCGAGCATTTCCGCACGTAACAGTCGCGAATAACGTTTAATGGCCATCCGGTGGATTCGGCCCTCTTTGGACATATAATTTGTACCCATTAAGACACTCGCGGTCCCGCGTCCTCCCCCGGCGCCTCTAATTACTTCGATTATCCGTTTAATATTAGTACGACATAGCGACGCGAGGTCGCACGCGAGCGATTCAGACGCTGTACGACATTAACCCCGTGTGTCGCGCTGGCTCACGTGCTTTCCATCCATTATCTATCGAGAACTTCATCCATGGGTGGCCGTATGTAATGATTACAGTTATATGCAAATGCTTTCCCACGCGCGAGCGAATGGAATGTACTAATTGGAAAAAGAAAGCGCGACACGCGTTCTCTGTCCCTTTCATAAATTCGCCTTTACGAGGTGTCGAGAACAGGCATCACCTTATAGGACAAACGCGCCGAGCAAAAGCGCAAGAATTAAGCGGAGCAGCGGATTTTAAGCTGACGTCATCGCTGCGCAAGAAGCCCGATTCGCGCGTTCGGAAATCGCGGTCCGGTCTCGCGATATTTTTACGAGGTTTCGGTGGCCATACACGGGACCCGCGGAGCAGCACGGCGTATCGAGAATGTGGCGATCGGCCTGCGGCTACGAATTCCGTTACACGCACTTGTACGGCTCCTCGAATCTCCTTATGCGCTGCCCACGACGAAATTTTTATACTCCATCTGCCGCACGATCCTCGACGACTGATCGAACGGCTCTCAAATCTGTATCGACGGTGACGTGGAAATGTCGATTGATCGTGCGACTTATTTTTAGCACACTGTAAAAAAAATATACATAACAGTACAGGAAAAAAAGTACATTTAGATAATACCTCTATTTTTGATTGGTTAACCTTCAAATGAGCGTTAAACAAAAATAAGTTTCTTATAAGAATATGTTTCAGGATTCAACGAAGGGCAGTCTGTGTTTTCATTATTCCAAATAATTGTTATTAATAGAAATAGAAAATATAGAATGGAGAAAACACTCTCTTAAAATCAATCAGTGAATAGTCACTGATATCAGTTATAAATATAGCACTGAGTACTTTCAGTGCAACACTTATAACTGCAAATTAATGTATATTCACTATTTTCAATGATATTTCACTGATTCATTTTAAGAGAGCAATGTTTTTAAGTGTCGGGAGGATAAATCACATTACATGAATAATTATATGATATATCTCATGGAACTATCAAAATATTCAGATAAAATTATAACATTATTGAAGTTCAGGATCTTAAAATTCTTTTAAGAAAATTATGCATAGATATGAAACAATGATTGTTAATTTGAATATATTAGTTTTAAGTAAATATGGGAATCTACAAACATTAACACATACATGTAAAAACATTATACTCCCAATATTTGGTGCTTTCCACACACATTAGTGAAAATTATTTTTTACTAACGAGATCTTTTTTAGTTGAATCGTAAAAAATATTCTTGCAAGTAACTTATCATCTCGTTTAACGCTATATAATCTCATTTGAAGAACATGTAAAAACATGTAAAAAAGTAAAGGTATTTTCTAAACAAGAATGTCCTCTTTTCTATACACATCAACGTGAGCAACGTCCTCCCACGCAATGGTAAGAGCTCGACGAGCGTAAAAGTCTTGAACGTTAGTCAACTCACGTTCTTCCGACAAGGAAACTAATTTTAAATCTACAACGTAACGCAGCAACTCATCGTCGTTGCACTCGATTAGTTTGTCGTCCACTCACCTGAAACTTTCCTCGGGAATCGCGCGCGATTATTCCCCAGCCTCGCAGTACAAAATACTGTTAGTCAAACAGGCGATACATGTCTTCTTTTTCGACAGTGGATAATTCATACTCGCGCATCGAGTCCCTATCCGGTCGAACGGAGTCTTCAAGTGAAGTCAAGCGAAGTCGCATTCAAGCGTGTGACGAATATTCGCGTTTGGCGTCGCTGCGCTTTGCACGCTGCGCGCAGAAAGATTCTCTTTACATGAAAAGATTTAATATGCGAAGGAGTATAGAAGGAGGGGAGGAGGAGGAGGCTGGGTATATCCGAAGTACATCTTAAGTACGACGATAAGTCGGCGGGAACCTTCGCGATCAGCTGATTGCTCGACAGTGACCCCAGGTCAATCTACTTTCTACTTCTCACATTCTGGCGAGATCAGAGGTGATGTAGCGACGGGAGGCTGCGCACGATGCAAGCGGACATACTTTCACGCGATGGACGGTATACATATCGTTGAATTATCGAGATGCTGATGAGTGAAAACGGATGGAGGCGGTGCGCGTTGTTCACCTGCCCGCGGGAGAAAAATAAGCGGGGAGATTTATTGGCCGGGATACTCGAGGAGAGTATGTCCTCGCACGGAAGAATGTTTATGACAACCCGGCGAGAGCCAGCAGTCGACGAGTGTGCGCGACGTGAGAAACTCAACTTTTGCAATTTGCCTGTCGTGTCGCGCTTAATACCCGATAACTCTCCCGCAACGAAAACAACCGATCATGAGAAAATATTCGGCTGAAAGTCTCGTAGGATTTCTAAGCATTTCTGTTCTTTAATACGCGAAGTTATCTCGGAACTTCACGGCGTGTCTGAAGTCACGTCTGGAAACTCGCCAGGGAAGAAGGAATCGAGTCTGTCTGTCGTATTAATCGTGTGCAATATTGATGTGGTTACGATTTTCGAGACAAACCTGCCGTGCGAAGGATAACGAAGCGAAGGTCAACTGCGGCGAATGTCAAGCATAACGGAATACGATACAGCAATTGACGCTCGGCCGAGTGTACAAACGTCACGTGTCACAATATAATTCATATACACAGAAAGTAAACTATCCACTTAAAATTAATATACTCAAATTATCAATTATTTTTTCATATGCAAGCAACGATATGTAATTTTATTAATAGAATTTTTAGGTCTTCAATTTCAACAATTTTAACAATATTCTTATTTAAATTCAACTAGAAACTGATCCCGTAATTCTGATCAAATTGATCCCAGTCAATTATTTGCTTGTCTTAATTATTAATAATTATTAGTATTAAAAAAAGCCCTGATTGCTACACTGCGTTATGTGGCTTATTATAACTGCGTTATGTGACCCAATAACATCCTTTATAGAAATCAAATGATTACTTCAGATTAACCCATTAAGGCCCAAGAGAAAACCGCTAAGGATAGGCTTTCAAAAACCATCTAAATTAGGGAAAAACATCGAAATTTGTTAAAAAGTGAAAAAAAATTGTGTTGGATTTCAAAAATTCAAGATGTGGGACCAATATGTCGACCTGAAAATTTGAAATTTTGACCTATTTGAATGAAAATCCGTATAAAGGGGGTTTTGGGTTCGTTGAGTATAAATATGCACTTATTTTTTCAAAATTTTTCAAAACGTACTTTCATTGAAATAAATCAAAATTAAAAATTGTTAACCGCCATATTGATTTTTAAAGTAAAAAAACTATTTTTCTTCTACAGTCTGCTAAAGTATGATATTTTGCTTCAAAACAAACACCTTCGAAAGGTAGCTTATAATTTGGTTAGATTTTTCGCCAAATAACAAAACTATGTCAAATTTTCGCATTTTTGGGCGGCCACATTGGATCCGCCATTACGAATTTTGAAAAAATAAGTGCATATTTATACTCAGCGAACCCCAAACCCCCCTATACAGATTTTCACTCAAATATGTCAAAATTTCAAATTTTCGGGCTGACATATTGGTCCACCATCTTGAATTTTGAAATTCAACACAAATTTTTTTCTCACTTTTTGACAAATTTCGACGTTTTGCCTTAATTTAGATGGTTTTTAAAAGCCTATCCTTAGCGGTTTTCTCTTGGGCCTTAATGGGTTAACCTGATCGAGATTATCGGAAAAATTTCTATTCAAGAATATTATAACAGTCCTGTTGAGAAGTATATGATTGTTTTCATATAAGTTTAATTATTTACTTATATAAGTTAACATATATAACTTATCTTCGTTTATAACGCCGAATGATCTTTAAGATTCAAAAGTAAAGACATTTCCGAAATAAGAATGTTCTTTATTTTTCCGTGTAATAACACGGTTTTGTTTATAACCCGCGGCTATGTGTAATCCGTTATCTATGTGTAATAAGGTAAACGTCCTAATGATTGAACGTATACCGATAATTGAATTACTAATAATATGCTTGTGTTTGTTAAGATGCTTATCAATAAATGAAACAAAATCACAAAGTAACTAAATATTTCTTTTCGTTTATTATATTGCTTTGTATATTGAAAAGCATTTCAACAAAGAAAAATACAAAACCAATATGTCAATCATTGGGACATGTATGTTCAACCACTGGGACGTTTACCTTAGTAAAAATGACAAAACGAGCGGACGCACGCGGGAAGAAAGTTCCTCATAAAGTTGGTCACGCGACTATATGTCGGTATGTGGTTAAGATCGCTTAATGGTCGTCCGCGATCCTCGGTGCAATGTGACACGATTTGTCGGCATCTGTTCGCCGATTGGTTCCATATCATGAGTAAACGAATGTGACTGGAAAAATCTACACATACGTTGCGCGGAGAAGAGGCGTTGGAGATTCCCTCACACACGTGCGTCGCCCTTGCCACAATCTGTCACGAAAAATGGTCACATCGAGCGTCTCGTTAGCTTCCGCATTAGCATTGGCACTCTATAAACAGATATTTACAGGCGCAAATTAAACGGGGTTCTCGCGCTCGTAGACCTCGACGGGAACCTGCTCACCCCGATTACGCCACAGTGCGCCGATCTTTAACGACGAATCGACCTGTTTTCAGGGAGTGGCTAGCATTCCAGAGCATAAAGATCAACGGGCTTGCCATGAATTAAAATCGACTCGGAAAATGGACGTCGCCAAGGGCACAACGGAGGAGTTCGTGACGGTGGTCAGCGTCGGCAGTCAGCCGACGTCGGAGAACTTCGTGACTGTTCTGTCGATCGGAAATGGCAAGAAGGAAGACGAGGAGTCGTCGACGGCGAGCAAGTGCCTGGCAAACGGCGTGGACGGACACCTCGAGGAGGAAGTCGAGGTGTTCAGGTTACCTGGGGAGCGCCTAGGCTTCGGTCTCAAGTTCGAGGGCGGCAACAAAACGTCCGAGAGGGTCAGGCGACTGTTCGTGCAGAGCTGCGCCGAGCAGAGTCCCGCAAGCAGAGCAAAATGCTCGTGGGGCACCTTGGGCGAAGGAGACGAGGTGAGGGAGCCAAAATGGCAGGAGCATGCGTTATCTCTCGTGTGTTTTCGATTCTCTTTTATCTGCTTACTTATTTATCTTTTAAATTTTCTTGCTTTACCGGAAACACAAGACCCTCGAACGAACGCGTGAGCAACGTTGCTTCCCAATCGATCTTATTTCCCGCGCGCGTTAACACACTTCGGCGCTTTCGCTGAAGCATTTTGTGCATGCGGTAAATTCAAGAAAGTGACGTTCATGAACATATACGATTTCATTAATCTTAACGGTACGTGAAATCCCGCGTGCATCATACATGTCGCTTTCATTGCGGAACCGACAGGTTTCATCTACGGCGGATAAAGATCACAATGGCTGCGCGATGGATGCCTACTGGTGTTTCAATGTCGGTATAATGAATGACGCGCAATTATTTGCACGCGTCGAGCCGCAACGCTCTTGCATCTGCGTGTCGTAATTTCATCGACTTGAATGAACAGGAGAAAGAGAGAGAAAGAGAGAGAGAGAGAGAGAGAGAGAGAGAGAGACAAAAGCAATAGAAATTCTTACCGCCTGCTTGAATTCAGTACACAACCGCTGGTGATGATGTCCTGATATTTCCGCCAAGGAAAAATCGACTGCAGATTCACCGGTGTGCTTATCGCCGGAATCAAGGCCGCGAATTGTGGAACGTCCCGCGGATTTCGTTCGCCTCTTCTTTTTCGCGCAAAACGCAACGTTGTACACTCTCTTTTTCGGCTCTCACGGTGCCGACTCGCCGTCTACGATTTTCAAGACCCACTTCCTGCGTTATGATTCCCAAGAGAGATTCCCTCCAACCTCTCACGTCGCTTGTTTACGTTGCAAATTATCGTGGGCAATGAGCTCGACACGCGGCTTCTCCGTGCCCGATAATCAACGTCATGTCTCTTCCAGGTGCTCTCGATCGACGGTATACCGGTGACACACATGACTCGGTTGGATTGCGTGAGAAGACTGAAGGAATCGCAATTGGTCATCAGACTGCTGGTGAGATGTCGCGGTGCCCTCAGGCCGGAAGTGGTGAGCGCCGAGAGGAAGATGTCGACGGAGAAGAGCAAAGTGCCGCCGGAGTTACCCGCGGCGCCTCCACCTGTACCGCCGAGGAAGCTGAGACAGCCACGAGGACCCGCGGACGGCGAGGCGAATCCTAGTCCTGTGAAGAAATCATGGGACAGTCCGAGGTCGCAAAATCCATCGCTGAATGGTTCGCAGAACAGCTCGCCAGCTTCTCAAGCCGGCTTACACTGCGTGGTGAAGACCAACTCGTATGAGAGTTGCGAGTCCTCGCCGAAGAGCGTAAACGGATCGAATCAGGAGAGCCCGAAGGGATCGCCCAAGGACCGGTCGCCAGAATTTGCGAAGTCGAAGCAGGTAGTGATCAGGATGCGATTTCAGAGATTAACTAAAAAGTTTCCCAATTAACTAAAGAAATGTATTATAAAGAGTTCTTCCTATTAACCTTAGAACGCCACACTTCTTTTAAGTTTTACTATATTGAGTGTAATGCACTAATCAGTATTTTTTCTTAATTTGGATATTAAAACATCAGGAATATGCTTATATCATTAATTACGACTGAGGTTTTATTAAAAAAAAAATTAATTTTGCAAAAAGGTCGAATAGAAATTTCCTTACTCACGAAAAAATTATTTGTTTAAAAATTTATAGTTTTTCTGTAATACCGTATTATATAAAATTAATTGCCATTTGTGAAAAGTGAAAGATGTAACTTTTCAGAAAAAAAATGTGGAATAATTATCTAAGAAAGAATGTATTGTTTGAAGAATTTTTACGTCAAGAGGCTGATTTCAATGGTGTCTTCTACTAAACAGCAGATATATGGCATGAGGAGATATAGAGAGAAGATGAAAGTTTTTTTTCCACTCTAATCACGACCCCGTACCTTTCATCACGTTTCAATTTGGACGTTTCAAGAATAGCATGAGTATCATCCAAGTGTGATGATCTAAGATTAATAAAGATTGAGATTGAGATTAAAATTAAGATCAACCTGATTAAAATTAATAGTCTAAGTATCAAACTAAAGGAAAATCTCTTCTCTTTCAGGAACCGCCGGAAGCCATGGTTTATCTGGACGCGAGATCGCAGTGCGGTTCGACGCACGGCAGCACGTCCGACGACACCGGCAGCTCGATGTCCACTGTGGTGGACCGATTCTCGACGTCCGACCGCGTCTCAACCATCTCCACGGCGTCCACGGCGTCAACCGCGTCAGAACAGCCGAGCGAGTTCTCGAGCATCGATCGAGACTTGGACCGATCGTCCGATCGAGATGTACTGCTGTCGCGAGCGATCTGCCCGCTCGAGCATCTCGAGCGGGACTTCTCCGCGAATCCACCCGACTACTTGCTCCGCCGTCTCGCTAATTCCGAGGCGGTGACGCATGTGGAATCGCGAGGCGAAGTCGAAAGGATCACGGCGGTAGTCGCGCCGAACACGGTGCTGATCGAGGAAACGATCACCCTTCAGCCGCCTCTCAGCTTCCAAGACGCCCCGCTGAGTTACGGGCACGAGGCTCGGCCGGATCTCTTTTACACGGCCGACCTCGCCGCCGACTCTACCACACATTTCAGACCAATTAAAGATGATGTCGAGCTCGTGGAGCGCGTCAACGGCAACGGCCACGAGGAATTTCGCGAGACGACCTGCGCAAACAGCGCGGAGACGTGCGAGAGAAGCAACGGCGACAGATTGTCGTCGTCGACGTCGTCCTCGTCCTCGTCATCATCATCGCCACCTCCGTTGCCGGCTAGGAATCACGTTAATAGGATCTGCGTGAACCAGTCGACGAGCGAACTCGCAAACGAAGCGCGTTCCCCGCGAGTCTCCGCGACAGTTCCCGTTTCGCCCGAGAGAGAACTCCCGGACGCTCCTCTGTTGCCGCCGAAGCCGTTGCCGAGGAAGGACGTCAAAGCCAGACGGAAGAGGCCACCTCCGCCACCGCCGCCGCCAACCATAGCACCGCGAAGGGAGGCTAAGCCTTCGGCCGAGTCGAATCACGTGATGGAGAAAGAAAACGGGGATCTGTCGCGAGCAGAAAACGCGGAGTACGTTCAATCAGAGTCGTGTAACTCGTCACCGAGCAGAAACAACGTTCACGACGAGAGGAACCGAGGAGGTGAACATTCAAGTACAAACGAGAACTTTGACATGAAACCTGACGCGGTGAAGAGCGTTTGCGCTGATAACGAGGCAACTGCTGCTGGCTCGGCGGAAGGCATGCAAACGAACAAAGTCTTCGAAATTATCGAGATCAGAATGGCCAAAGGTCTGCAGAGCAGCCAGAAGGAGGAAATCGCGAAAAACGAGCCGGATAGTGCATCCGAAGCGATAGGCAATTGCGAACGAACGACTGCCACGGAGCAAAGTGGCGCTAAAGACGAGATGATCGACAAGAACAAACAAGAACAGTTGCAGTCCTCGAGTAATTCGAGCAGAATTCCAACGGAACGTTCAAATCCGAATGTAGAAGCGACTGAAAAACCTCGGACCGACGAGAACGATGAAGAGGGAAAGTATATTGACTCCGAGAGAACCTACGGAGAGAAAACTAGAGTAAATACTCGAGATGTTTTCAAGGAGGGATTTCCATCCAACGGCGAGGTCGATAACCCTGCGCTACGAGAGAGCGAGGACGACGAAACGTATCAATCGTTGGACGAGGTGAATGACGACATGAAGAGTCCGGAGATGAATCGAATGCTGGAGGACGACGAGATCATGGAGGAGGAGGAGGAGGAGGAAGACACGAGCGACGAGAGCGACGACGGCGATTATTATTGGCAGAGCAATCTAGCTACCATCGGCGAAGAGGAGGAAACCAACTCTTTGGAATATATGAACGCGTAAGTTTACAATTGTCTATTTTATATTTCGAATACATCAAAATACGTGGAGATAATAAGTTTTCGGAAACAAAATATTGAAGAGTAAGTGAAGAACGAAAGTGATAAAATCAAGAGAAAAGTATAGGATAGCGAATTGACCGCGCGCGCGCGCGCAAGTGTTGCGCTACCGTGACATTTTCTCATCGACTAAATGATGTTATGGTCAACGTCATTTTTGATTATCAAATATTTGACAGACACTAATTAGAAGCGCATTTTGCAAAGGGGAGAAAATTATACAAATATTGACACGCGCTTCAATACGTGGCGACTGTAGTATCGTGTCAATATCAACAGTACGGTTCCGCTTAGCTCGAATGAAGTATACGGTTAGTTGCGAAATGAATCGCTGGAAATTGTCTTGAGAAGTGGACTGCTATAGAACTTGCTAATGCACATAGCGCGCGCGCGCGCGTTCGTTCGCGTAAATGAACTTTGGAAAGAAATTAATTCACTTTCTTTATGGATATGGGTCACCTGTCCCGCGCGCGGCGAATAGTGAAAAGGTTAATTGACCGTTCTAAGAATAGGAAAGAGGACTGTGTCGATTACCGGGAATCGAACAGTCGGTCGTTCGACTCGACCGTCCCACGAGGTGAACGCCTCCATGCAAATGCTCGACATTTGCTTATTGCTTCGAGAAGCAATCTCTCCTTCTTTGCATGACGTTGCAATCGTCTCTTCTAAACTATCCGAACAACGATTGTCGTTTATTAGAGCCGGCAATAGGTACGTCCGGCGTTGTGGGATTTAACGTTTATACCGGGCAGCGTTGCATTCGTCGTCGAATCGTTCGCTTTCGATATCGGCACGCGGGTGAAACGCGGGCGAGAGATGAGCATTGCAGACGCACACGTAAAACATCTGCGTAAACACAGCCGAGAGAAATGATTCTCTGTCTACCTGTGTTACAGCAACACGGACGCGAATGATTCTAGCGGGCCGCCGGTGGAGCCGGAAGAGTCGTCTCCTACAATCAAGAAAGATACATTCGTTAAAGTCGGTGGTAAGTAAGTTCGTTTGGTACACTAATTAGACCTTAATTATCCTCAAAGTGCGATTCGAGTGAATAAAGCGCAATTTATCCAATTAAAACAAGAATGCGAGGTCAGCGCGGAACGATCAGAGAGCTCGCTCACAGCGGAACGCAACAAATCAGGCATTTGCGTACGTTGAAGCGAGCTGCGTAAAAGAGGTTAGCGCCGTCGCTCCAAACGCAGCGACCTTGGCAAAGATTAATCGATCGGATTCACGTCGTTGAGACAATCGCCGCGACTTTGCGATCGAAGGGTGCACTGATCGGTCGGGAAATTGGGCGTCCCGCGAGCGCGCGAAAACCGTCGCGTAGGAAAGGAGAAAATCTTTAGAAGAGAGGAAAAAAAAAGAAAAAGAGACTACCGGACATACCCGGAGCCCGTGTACACCCGGTATACACGCCCACGCTACCGCAGCACGCCGCGTCGAGCTTCGTAAAGGTTACGCATTAATCACCTTGCGTTACGCGCCCATACAGTTCTCCGGTTTCGCGCGCAGCCGCGAGTATCTACATTCAAAACGGAGGCAGGTCGATTCGAGACAAAGGCGTGTAGCGGCGCGCCTTCTCCTCCTCTCTCTCGACGGGAGAAATTCTTGTTCACCGACGTGCATACCAGTATTTTCGCGCGGATGACTCGACGTTCGCGTTTCCTCTTCGCGGCCTCTCTCTCGCGCGTAACACTTGGCGCGGACACACCGATGCATGCGCGACGCGGCCGCACACACAAAGAAGACGAGGAATCGAGACGTCGTCCTCGGGACGCCGGTGTGTTGTCGGGGTTCGTGGCCCCTCGCAATTTACCTCCCGATGGCCGATCGCCACGTCGGGAAACGTCTCCGTAATTTTCCGTGGGCGCATAGCAGCACTTATCCTCAATAAGACACACACGCGCGTACAAAACACACGCTTTCCGGAAAGCACTCGCAGGAGGACACGTTATCCCACGCTCGCGTCTCGCGCGACGGAGAAAATGCTCGTCAATGTGGATCGACGGGATCGATCGAAAACGGTAATCCCGTCGCGGCAATGCCGGAAATCGAACGGCGCGCGTGCGATAGCAATAATTCGCGCTCTACGCGTCCGCGCCGAAGTGTGTTATCAGAAGCAATGATGCGATGATCCACGCGATCGAACGGTCCCTTCCAGCGCGCGCCGAACTCTTCTTTTCTTTCAATAGGGATAGCGAGTGCACGCGCAAAAAAAAAGGTATTAATTCCCGGACAAATACACTGAGAAATGAACGTTTGGTATTTGTAACTGCACTATTTGTAATCACGTGGAGTATTTGTAATCACTATTTAATTATTTTTAAAAGAAAACAATTTTTTTTAATTCAATTTTACCATAATGTTAGAGATAATGATCTTGTGCGCATGCTACCACTTTAGTGTTGCAACAAGCGAAAGGTATGATTGGGGCGAAAAATAACTATAATTTTAGCAAGATCGATCATTTTTCTCTCTGTGTACCCGATCGTCGACATTCTGATTTTTTTGATTTTTAAATATAAATATTTAAATTCTCAATATAGATTATGTTCATATAATATTTTATGTTGCAAGTTTAAATATTCGTATACTAAAGTAACACAAATCCGGAGAAACAAAGCGCGCGCGACGTAATGGGAGGAATTATGCGGATAATAAGAAGGCAGTAATGAGCGTTCGTGTAATAATTAATTTGCGCAGTGCTGTTCAGAGACGTATCGATCACGCACGTCGAGCACCGTAACATTAGAAGCGGCGTGTAATTTTCTAATGACGAGTCTTCATTTCCCGCGTGATGTCGACATCGTCTTTACCTCCCCTCGCCTCCCATTTCCACTCTCCTGCCTCTCTCTCTCTCTCTCTCTCTGTCTCTCTCTCTATTTGCAACGCGAACGGCGCGATTCCTGAAGCGAATCGTGCGATAAGGAGTATCGGTGGATCTCCACTGATGATCAGTGACTCTACCGTAGCCGGACGCTTTGTGAAGCGGGAAATAAGGAAATTCCGTCAGTGCGGTCTCTAATCGGCGCCGCGCGTCCCGCACGTGGATTCCCGGGCCGCCAGGCCAGGTGGGTGTGAGAACAAAACCGTTAAGAATAATTCGAGAATCGCGGCTGTAGCGATCGTGCGGGTTGCGGCTTCTCACCGGCGCCAACAAACACAGCCGAAGCAGCCGCAGGTTCATATTAAACGCGAAGCTTTATGGTCAGGCGCCTCTCCCGCCGCGCGCGCGCCGTTTCAACCGATCATTTCTCCAACGCACCGACATTCATTCCTCAACCCCGTTAAATATGGAGTCGTAAAAATTCTCATGATATCCATTACATCCACCGTTTCGTCCCGCGAGAGTCCGGATACTTTGCAAACACGTTCGTGAGATTAGTTCACGTTTGTGAGTTTCGAGGAGTTCATTCGTTCAAATTAAACAGAAATTTAGCGCAACACTTACCGCAGTACTAAAACACATTCGTAATTGAAATTCCATGCGATCTGTCTGCACCGTGTTCGTGAGAAATTTAATACTAAATATCGCAATTTTTTACTATGATCTTACGGTGGAGGTGATATAGAGTGCCATTATTACAGTGTAACTTCGTAAAAAATGATACCATCTAAATAAAAATACTTAACGTTATAAATGTTACACATTTTAGGAAACGTGCCATAGAAAAAGGAATAGTATTCACTGCACTGTCTTGGTCGATTGTAGATCAGAAAATTGCTACTTTTCGCCTTTGGGTGCACTGCAAATCCAATCCAAGTATACTTTTCAACGCATAAGCACGTAATTTGGCTGAAGCTCTTTTTATATGTTCTTCGCGCTTTTAAGTCATGTCCAAAGTGGTATCATGAAGTTGATTTTAAATTAACATTTATTATTTAGGTAGTGAAATAAAGAGATAAAAACACGTAATTTTGTTGAAGAGATAGTGAATTCATAAGTAACTCCCTTGACGTGTCGCTGAAAATAAACCCTTAGGCGCCCTGAAAATACATATCTGATGAATAAACTGCTTGAATTCGCGAATTTCTCCAGCTGCCTCTGCGAAGGTGCGAAAGTTCGCAAGTCATAAAGTTAATGATGTAATAGCGACACGCTTCATTGAAATAACGTGTCGCAGCATGATCGTCGCGTCGCGCTCAGGTCGGAGTGGCAGGCCGAGACGGCGTCGAGAGTCCCAATTACCGTCGTTGGCGAGCGATTTCCCAAGTCCCCTGTTAATTAACACGTGTCTCACATTGTTCCGCGACGCATTTACGATCTACCCGGCGCCGTGGACGTCGTAGCCACCCGTTATAAAGGCGAACGATCAGGCTACGGCTTTACTAGTCACAACAATATGGCGGTACGGTCCCAACGGCAGTCCTCAGCCTCCGTCGAAGCTCTTCCAGTGGCTGACCGCGCTCAAGGTCCCATTCCCCCTTAATCGCCTTCCTTTTCGAGATCTTTCACTTGGTTCCAATCGAAGAGACGGCGATCTCTGACGCATACTTACGCACTGACGCGTGTTGTACGCGCGATCGTAGAGGAGACGGCATTCCAACGCGCCGGCACGAGGCCCCTGCGCTTAATAGTATACTGACCCAAAGATAACAAACGTCCCATCCCCCGACTAACACCTATACAAATGTATTGCTAGATCAGGGACCGATCGCCAACTCTCTCCTTCACTCTTTCCCTCTTTAGGACAGCGCGCTCTCTCGCGCGTCTCCTCGAAGGCCGGAGTCCCGCCTTGCTGGAACGTGGACGTTTTATTTCGTGTTATCGCTTCGTAGCTCGTTATTCGCCACGAAATAGCTCTCTGCCGGTATTCTCTGGACACGACATGGAGACGTATACGTGTCCCTGGTGAATTTAAGAGATCGATCAAGCGATTGTCAGTCGTTGAATCGAAGAAGGACGGTGACACGATTCTCTCAGGTGGGTCCATTTCGCGAGCCTATGTCGCCCCGAGCGTCGAAGGATGAATAGTGGCGATCGTTAACGCAACGCGCCACTGTACGACTACTAATTTCTTATCTCCGTTGGACCATCGATCTTTCGCGCGACGTGGAGTGGAAGATACGCTCGTCAATGTTGCGTAATTGCGCGCACCGAAGGTACACAAACGAAGAGCACATTCCATAATTCCAGTCGAACTATGCAGCCATCAGCGAGCGGCTGTTAAGGGGCTCCGACCTTTCCCAGGCGATCCGACCCGCCCGTTTCAATTTGCGATCGCGAAGGGCGACGATTAGTCTTGACCTGCCGAGACGAGATTTCCGTGTCGGAGTAATTAGCGGAATAATCGATTTCGAGTGTTGTTCCATGAATCATTTTGATACGCACAGTCTCTCCGGACTGCCTCCATTTTGTCCGAACTATACAGGCTCGATGGAAAAGCCTCAAGATTATTCGCGTCCGACGTCAATTTCAATCCACGATCATAGCCGATCGTAATCTCGGACCGTATAGAAAATGATTCGCCATTCAGAACTGAACGGGACATTCGCGGATATGCGCATGGAGGAATAAAAAAGAAAACGCACGCGAGCAGATTATCAGTACGGAATAACGGATCTGGGAATGGAACGTTTAGAAAGTTTCAGAATACAAAATAATGCAAAGTTTTCTGAAGATATCTCGTCTCCAATTTACGCGTTCAAAATTTCATCTCTAACGCCAAATAGTTGCACAATTTTAGCAGCTTTAAAAAATAGATAGAAAGAAGTTGGCTTCTCTGCGAAGTTCGCCTTGCAAACATGTGCGAACGAGAACGCAAATTAGTTCCGAAATACTACTACTATGTAATGTTCAGTCCGTAAGATCTGAGCAAATTTATTCACTCACCAACTTTTGTAGAGAATCCGAAGAAATTTCAAAATCTATTTGCAGTTTTCGATTTTGTTACACTATTATTATCTTATAGCTGAGACTTTTTTATATCTTTGGAAAAGAAAAATGTGCCCGAAAATATTGATCAGTATTATGACGATTGAAAA